TTAGCTGTAGAGGGCAGTGTCACTGGCCCTCATATGTGGGATCCGAACCAGGGCCCTCTGGCGTCCCAAGCCAGCTCTTAACCATCGCGCCACTCGGCCAGCCCCAGAACCTTCTTAACTGATTACTATGAGATGGGGTAAAGTGAAAGTGGATTTGCCAAGTGCATCACCCATATGTGTTTGGCTTCAGGCCTGCTGGAGGTCCATTCCTTCTGAAGGTAATTCTACAATCAAAGACTCATTGATTGAGTCATTCATTAATGTAGAGTCAGCAAAACTTACTGAGTTTCTGTTGTGTGCCATGCACTGCCCTTGTTGGTTGAGCAGTGGCAAACACTTAGTCTTCTTCAGTGATTCGTTGGTTAAGGAATGCTCTATGAGTAAGACCCTTGGGGATCTGAGACAGAGATGGCACAATTTCTGTTTTCCAAGTACTGATGACTGATAGACTCATAAAGTCTCCTCTGTTTTTTCTGCAGCTCAGTAAACGCTCTGCCACTGACCTGTGTGGCCGGAATGATGGAAACCTTAAGGTGATATTCCCTGATGTAGAGATGGAGGATGTCACTAATTCTGGGCTCAGAGTCAGAGCTCAGCCTGGGGACTACGTGCTGGTGAAGGTAAAGGGTCCTCTGGAGTTTTTGGTTTGCACCGTGAAATGGCTGTTGGATTGGATAATTTGGGGGAATGAATTTTTCTCCTGGAGAAATTCTTTAGTAAAATAAAAATCTCTTCTCAACCTGAACAATGGAAGGGCACCTTGAATTGAATTGTAGACGATTTCTAACTATTGCCTTCTTGTTTTTCTTCTCTTCTCTCTTGCCCTGGAAGGGTTCTTTTTGGGAATTTGGTGAGATTGAAGTACACAGTAGCATGTAGTTTCTTACTAGGAAGAGAGGCCAGGAAGTACAGGTGATTTGGAGTGAGCTGACAGTTCTCTCTTGTCAGAGATCAGCATGCCCTTCGAAGCCTCTGATGCTTCAGGCATCCCTAACGTACATGTACTCCAGTTTCCTGGGCCCCTCCCTGGACTAGCTGATCAGCTGTGGGAAGGTTTCCTCTTGCTTCTTTTCCCTCTTTCACTGGGGATAGTCCTCCTTTCTTTCCTCTTTTTTTCCCCTCCTTTTCTTCTTACACTACCACAGGTCTGCTACTGCCATGTCCCTTTTCTTCTGGTCCTAGTGTCTACTTTGCCCCAGAACCAGAGGCTGGCAGGACACATAAGGTGAGATAGGCAGGAGCAAAGCTGCTTCTCCAGCACTGAGCTCCGGAGCATCTACGAGAGAGAGGTGGAGAGAGGGCAATTGTTTTTCTGCTGATGTTGATCAGTGTTTTGTCCTCTTGCCTATTTCTTAGTGTCTTACCCTCTACTCTGCTTTCTACACTTGCTCTTACTGTCACCTCCATCTTGAATCATGGGAGCCATGGTCCATGGCTTGTAACTGAGGGAGGTTCATTCCTCTGGCACAGAGCTTCTTTGGATTGGCTTGGAAATTTTGCCAACACTTCTAACTTTTCTGTCCATCTGACAAAAACATACAACACAATCAATTTGTTGGCTGGTGACTATGATGTCATTCCCTCCTGTCCTTGTCATGACTGGGAATTGTCTTAATTAAACATTACCTAGGAATTTCCTAAGTAGAGTAATTCCCACTAGGCCGCAATGTGAATGATCTAGAAACAATCCCGCATAGCTTTCTCCATTTGTTCTTTTTTTAAAAGTTTTTTTTTTTTTAAGATTTTTTTTTATTGGGGAATTGGGGGATGGGAACAGCGCTGGGGAATTGGGGGAAGGGGAACAGACAAGTTGCTGTCGTTTTGTTCTTCAGTCTAGTTGTGGAGGACGTTGCTTCACTGGCCCAAGTTGGCACCATCATTGTGCTCTTCCCGGGTAAGGCAGATCAGTCGCCGACTTCTGGACAGCCGCTCACGCTGGCTGCTGGCCGCTCACGCTGGCTGCTGGCTGCTGGCTACACACGGTAGCCCATTGCAACCCACTGCAGCAGTGGCTGCAGCCTATGCCGTCGCCAGCGACTCCCGGCATCTTAGATGTTGTTCAGCATCTTAGCTGTAGAGGGCAGTGTCACTGGCCCTCATATGTGGGATCCGAACCGGGGCTCTCTGGCGTCCCAAGCCAGCTCTTAACCATTGCACCACTCAGCCGGTCCTAAAAGTTTTTGACACTATCTTATTATTTCTCCCTCTTTGGAATGTTTGTTTCTTTGATTTTTAGTTGCTTTCCCATACCTCTTCCTGCTCCCTTTCCACTCTAGCTAAGGGTTACTTGAAGAAAAGGAAGGAGGTTGGTGGGTTGGGTTGTAGTGTTAGTATGATATTCTTTTGTAAAATGCAAAAATTGCAGTTGTTAAGAAAGGTAGAGAGGTTATGCTGCATTACTTGGTACTCTGTTTTGTTCTCAAGTGATGTAAACCCCACAGGTAAGATTTAGCGGAAGGATCAAAATTAAGGAAGGGCTGTGGAACCAGGGGTCTGTTGGCTCTTTTTCTGTGTTGCTCATCTCTGCTGTTTCATTTCTCTCCAGTTAGAGTCTCTGGGCTGTGCTAGAACCATTCCCTCATAAATTTCACTTTTTTGTCTCCCTCCCTTCTGTGGTGCTTATTTCGCTGAATCCCAGCTCTGGTAAAAGTGGTTATCTGCTTCCTCTGCACCTGTGCCCTATCATCTGAACATTGCTGGGGAAAAGCACACAGTTAATCCGTATGAGATAGATGAGGTCAGATGATGGTGATTGAAAACTCAAAATACAGGTAGGACTTCTCGTTCTCATAAAAATCTAGTTATGGAAGGTCTAGGACTGGTGATTGTGATGGCTCCATGATCATCAAGGGTTTATGTTCCTTCTGTTTTTGTTCTCTGTGTGTGGCTTCCATTCTCAAGGTAGCCTCATGATCCAACATGGCTGCTCCAGCTACCATGTCCATATTCTAGGTAGGAGGAAGAAGGAAAAAGAGATGGGAAGGGCATGCCCTCTTCCTTTCAGGACATTTTGCAGAACTTCCACACACTGTTTCCACCATAGTAACATACCACACCAGGCTACAAAGAGTCAGAGAAGTGTAGTCTTCATTCTGAATGACCATGTGCCCACTTAAAAATTGAGAGTTCTGTTATTGAGGAAGAAGAGGAGAAATGTTGGGGGATAAGTAACAGTCTCTTCCACATAAACCAACAGTACTCCGTACAAATTTATGACCATGAAACTCACCTGAATGTTGAGCATGGCCTTGAAATCCTCATGCTACGATTTCCCTGGCATACTGACTTTCCCACTCTTTCTTCTTAAATCTTCATCTGCCTATCCAGATCCTACTCTCAGCTAACGTCTGACTTATATTCATAGAAAAAATAGACAAAGTCAGGTGAAACCTCATTGTCTCATCATTATTTCCACCAGCTCACTCACATCTCTACCCATACGTGCTGTCTGGTCACATGAAACTGTGTAGGAAACGTCTGTGCCTTCTGTTAACGGTGTCCCTTGTGTCTTCACTTCCGTCCCTTCCCATCTTCTCAGGAGATTTGCATTTATCTCCTTGCTCTCTTGCATCTTAAACTTAATGTGGCCTAAATAGAATGGATTCTTCCCACTTGCCTGCAATTTTCTACTTTTCAAGCCTTCCCCAATTTCAGTAAATGGCACCACTCAATTGCTCAAGCCAAAAATCTAGAATTCATCCTAGATAGTTGCTTTCCTGTACTCCCCATCAGCTGTCCATCTGTTTCGGCTTCTCCTATGGAATGTATCTTGAACCTGACCATTTCTTTCCATCTCCAAGCCACCATCATTTCTTGGCTGGGAGATTGCAGTGTCCTCTTCACGGACCTTCTGCTTTTATATTTTAAAGATAAATTATTTATTGAAGAATATCATAAATGTAGAAAATTGCCCACGTTGTAAGTGTACTACTTGACGAATTATCATAAAGTGAACCTACTCATATAACTACCACCTGGACCAAGAAACAGAATATTTTCAGAACCCCAGAACCCCCCTAATGTTCCTAACAGTTGCCCTGCATCCTGGTTTCTGACACCATAGTTTAGTTTTTCCTGTTTTTGATCGTCACACAATTGAATCATACAGTGTGTATTTTTGGTGCCTGTCTTCTCTCCCTGAAACTTACGTTGTGCAATTCATCCATGATTATATTTATTCATGTTATATGACTATACCACAATTGATTTATGCATTGGACTGTTGTTGGCCATTTTCATTGTTTCCAGCTTGGAGCTATTACAAATAGAATTGCTGTGAATATTCCTGTACATGTGTCTTAGTGCACATACGTATTTATTTCTGTTGGGTATATGACTTAGAATTGCTGGGCCATAGGTTTGTATAATAGAAGCAGCTGAAGTGATTATACCATTTTACATTCTCACCAGCTGTGCGTGAGAATGCCAGAGGCATCATATTCTCTCTTCCGTTCTTGCCCTCCTCTAGAATGTCTGCCCCGCAACAAGCAGTGTGATCTTTCTAGATCAGATCCCTCACTCCTCTGCTTGAGCCCTCCAGTGGCTTCTTATTAGAGCCAGCATGAAATGCAAGGTGTCCAAGGCCTTATATGATCTGCCCCAGCTACCTTTCCAACCTCACATCCCTTGCACTCTTCTTATTCTCTCTCCTCCAGCCTTGGTGGCCTCCTTTTTATCCCTCAGACCTGGTCTGGTGTCAGACAGGGACTTTGCACATGCTGTGTTGCTTGGGAGGCTCTTGATCTTTGTCTGGCTGCCTTTTTTAAAACGTTCAGTGTATCTCTGAAATGTCACCTCCTTGAGAGGCCTTCTCTGGCCACTGTCCCGCTAAAGCACCTGCCCTCCACTTTGTTCTTGTCACTGTTTACCGCAGTAGCCTATTTTAACTCCGTAGCACATGAAATCATCCTTGTTTGTTTCTTTACATATTTATTGTCTCTTTTCTCCTAAAGCTCCTTTGAGGTCAGAGAAAATATCTGTTTTGTTCATTTCAGTATCTTCAGCACCTAGGACTATCCTTAGACCATAACAAGTACTCAATAAATATTTACTAATGCACTGACTTGTTCTCATGGTAAGAAATGAGACCACTGGTGCCTTTGGGGTCACATGCTTTTAGCGCTCAATTAAAGAGGAAGGAGAGCCTTTCTCACCACATTTGGGCCATAAATATCCTACGGAAGGATTTGACTGGTCCAGCCTGGATCACAGCTTACCCCTGGGGTTGGGAGGGCAGGGTCTGTGATGGGCAGCTCACACCTGAACCTTATGGTTGGTGCTGGGGAGAAGCCATCTCCCAAGAGAAAAGGAAGAAGTGGCTATTTGGGATTGACCTATTTTGGACTTCTTAAATTCCATGCTTTACCATTGCATCAGACCTCCCTTCCTTCCAGGATTGGGGGCATACAGGAACCATGTAGCCTCTGCTGGCCTGTCATCTCTGTCAGGTCCCTCTTGTTGGCCTCTCCTCTCGAGGTTCCTTTTTAAGTCCCTGTAGTGCAGCCTTGTTTACCTTGTCTTCTCCTGACTGGTTTTCTTTCAGATCACCTCTGCCAGCTCTCAGACACTTAAAGGACATGTTCTCTGCAGGACCACTCTGAAGGACTCTTCAGCATATTGCTGACCCGAGCGATGACCTCAGAGCTGACGTGGGCAGTCCTTCCCAACAGGAAGGACTGGTCACTAATGAAAGAGGTAATGAAGCTTTGAAGACAAACCACAAGTGGTGAAGCAACTTTATGTCAAATGGAAAATGCATCTCTTTGCTGCTACATGAACAGGCTTTATAATCATTAAATTTATCTAAACTGAAGTCATCCCGCTGTCTCTCTACTTTTACTTCATTTTTACTTTGGTTAGTGTTTCTGGGATTTTCCCTAGTGTGTTAAGTGTTTCCCAACCTAATTTCTGCTGTGGACACTGCTAACCTCTCTGGTTTTCTCCACTGGACCCCGGGAGTTAGAAACTGAAGGGGAGGGGAAAGTGGAAAGAACCATTTGCTTGGGAAAAACTGCTCTAGATTTTTCTTAACATTTGGTAAGATGACATTGACTCAGCTGCTTATCTCTTCTCTTTATTCTCATATTTTACCTGAAGATTTCGCTCATGGACTTCTTTTTTAGCCTGTCAATTCATTCTTTGCCTTCAGTTCTGACAGCACCTGGAGTTTGGGAAGATATCATTACCTACTCGTAAGCTTTGAACACTCATTCTTGGCCCATTCACTACCAAGTTTATGTCATTCTGTTGGTATCGTGAAAAAAAAATTCCAAAGATGGTAGCGTGGAGTACTTGGGAGTCAGAAGGACTATTGTTCAAGTTCCCATTCCATTGCTTAAGAGTTGTGTGTCTTGAGTAGTTACTTGCCTGGGTTTTCTCATGTGACATGGGGATAATAATAATAATAATAATAATAATAATAATAGTAATAATATGTTTATCTCATACGGAGTTCAGTGAGATTATACTTGTAATGAGTTTAGCACTATCATGCTCGCTTCAGCAGCACATATACTGAAATTTGAACGATACAGAGAAGATTAGCATAGCCCCTGCACACAGATGACACGCAAAAAGAAAACAAGAGTTTAGCACTATCTACGGAACATGATAAGTTTTTAGCAAATGGGAGCAATCATTGAAGGATTTTGCTTCTAAAGCAAGGCAGCGTTTATTAGGATGTCCCAAGGCTTTTATTGTGTGTCTGCCCTTAATCTCCTTTAGACCCTTTCCACTGACCTGCACGACCGCCTTTGGGAATCCCAGGCTGGGAACCTCTTCCTCAGGTGCTGGTTCGGCCTGGGAAGATTGGTGTCTGCTATCGAGGTCCATCTTCTGAGGAAAACCTTTGTTATAACTCTTCACCTTCATTCTTTTTTTTGTTTGTTTTTGGTTTTCTTAGTTTTTTCATATTCTCATTTTTCTTCTTCACCTTCATTCTTTACTCAAAAGGCATTTTAAAACAAGTTTTGAAATTTTATTTTACTTTTTATGAAAAAAATGTACTTGTAGTAAATAATTCAAACAATATAATAGGTATCTGTAATTGGTTGGTTTCTTTCCTACTGCGTTCTCCTAGTCTCCTAATTCCCTTTTATAAAAGCCAGCACTTTTATCATTTTCCAGTGTCTTTTCAGAGGCAATCTTCTGTATGTACAGTGATTCGTATGTATATTTGTTTTACACAAATGGTTAAACACCATCCACACTGTTAATAGCTTTATTGAGATATGTGTAATTGACATACAACTGACATGCACATATTTTAAAGTGTACAGTTTGATGTTTCGACCATATGTATATACCCATGAAACCATCACCAAATCAAGACAATGAATATACCCATCATCCCTGAAATTTTTCTCATGTCCCTTTGTAATCCATCTCATATTCCCAATCCCCAAGTGACCATGGATTTTCCTGTCACACATTTGATATGTTGTATTTTCATGTTCATTAATTTCAAAATAACTTTCTAATGTTCCTTTTGATTTCTTCTTTGACCCATGGGTTATTTAGAACTGGGTTATTTAATTTCCACATATTTGGGGATTTTCCTGAGATCTTTATGATATTTATTAATTACATTGTGGTCAGAGAACATACCTAGTATGATTTTAATCATTTGAATTTATTGAGACTTGTTTAATGGCTCAAAACATGATCTATCTTGGTAAATATTCAGTGTGTACTGGAAAAGAATATGTATTTTGCTGTTATTGGATATAGAGTTTTATAAATGCCAGTCAATTCAGGTTGTTGCTCAAGTCTGTAATACCCTTGCTTGCTATCTATCAAGTTCTTCTGTCAACTAGTGAGGGCGGGGTATTGAAATTTTTAAAAATAATTATGGATTTGTCTCTTGTATCTTTGTAGTTCTATCAAGGTTTGTTTCATGTATTTTGAAGCTCTGTTACTAGGTGAATAAACATTTAGAATTTTTATGTTCTCTTGACTGATTCCTTTATCATAATGAAATGACCTTCTTTAACCCTGGTAATATCTTTTGCTTTGAAATCTACATTGTTTGATATGACTGTAACCACTTTGGCTGACTCCCTCCTTTTTTATTGAGATTATAGTTCATGTAGCAATATCACTATTTTAAAGTGTACAATTCAGTGGCTTTTAGTATGCAGATAGTTCTGCAACTATCACCACTGTCAAATTTTAGAACATTTTCATCTCTCCCAAAAGAAACCCCATATCTGTTAGTGGTCACTCCTTATTTTTCCCTCCTCCTATCCATTGGCCAACATTCTGAACCTTCTGTCTCTTGATTTTCCTATTTTGGACATTTTATATGAATGTAATCATACAATATGTGGCCTTTGTGTCTGGGTTCTTTGACTAAGCATAATGTTTTCAAGATTCATCCATGTTGCATAATGTGTCAGTACTTCATTCCTTTTTTATGATTGAATAATGTCAATGTAATACTCTATGTTAATAGAATGGACTGATTACTAGCTCAATCTCCTTACTAGTTCTAGGTCTGTTTTATTTTCCATTTCTTGAGTCAAATTTGGTAGTTTGTGTGTTTCAAGGAATTTGTTTGTTTCAAGCAGGTTATCAACTTCGTTGACATACAAGTGTTTGTAGTATTCTTTTATAATCCTTTTATTTCTCTAAGATTGGTAGTAATATCCTCAATTTCATTTCTGATTTACTATCTTGACTCTTCTCTTTTTGTCAGTCTAGCAAAAATTTTGTGAATTTTGTTCATCTTTTCAAGGAGCCAACTTTTGTTTTTGTTGATTCTCTTGAGTTTTTTGTTCTCTATTTTATTTGTCTCTGCTCCAATCTTTATTGTTTCATTCCTTCTGCTTGCTTTGGGTTTAGTTAGCTCTTTCTCTAGCCCTTAAGGTGGAAAGTGGGTTACTGATTTGAGATCTTTGTTCTTTGTCTTTTTAACACAGGAGTTTATTTTTTAGAGCAGGTTTACAGCAAGATTGACTGGAAAGCACAGAGAATTCCATATACCTTTTGCCCCCACACATGCACAGACTCTCTCACTATCAACCTCCCACAGCAGAGTGGTACATTCGTTACAATTGATGAGCCTAACTTGACTCATTATTATCACACACAGTCCATAGTTTACACTAGGATTCTGTCTTGGTATTATACATTCTGTGGATTTGGACAAATGTATAATGAATTATAGTGTCATATAGAGTAGTTTCATTGCCCCCAAATTCCTCTGTGCTCTGCCCATTTGTCTTTCACTTCCCCGCAAGCTCTGGCAACCACTGAATTTTTTACCACCTTTATATTTTTACCTTTTCCAGAATGTCATGGAGTTGGAATCACACATAATGTGGCCTTTTCAGATTGGCTTCTTCCACTTAGAAATATGCATTTAGAGCTCCTCCATGTCTTTTCATGGCTTTGTAGCTCATTTCTTTGTAGTGCTGAATATCCTGTTGTATGGATGTACCACAATAGCTAAATGTATCTATCCATTTACCTAATGAAATACATCTTTGTTCCTTCTAGTTTTGGCAATTATGGGTAAAGCTGCTCTAAACATCTGTGTATGAGTATTTGTGTGGACATAAGTTTACAACTTATTTGAGTAAATATCAAGGAGTGTGATTGTTGAATCATATGGTAAGAGTATTTTTAGTTTTGTAAGAAACTGCCAAACTGTTCTCCAAGGTGGCGATACCATTTTGCATTTCTACCAGCAATGAATAAGAGTTCTTATTGCTCCACATCCTTGTCAGCATGTGGTGTTGTCAGTGTTCTGGAATTTAGCCATTCTAATAGGTGTTTAGTGGTATCTCATTGTTGTTTTATTTACAGTTCTCTAATACTTACTTTCATATGCTTATTTGTATCTATGTATCTTTGGTGAGGTGCCTGTTTTGATCTTTTGTTCACTTTTTAATCAGGTTGTTAATTTTCTTTTAAG